GACAAACCGATGAATCCCGGACCTTTTTTCCTTCTTAGCCGTCAGTAGGGAACATGGGTCTGGCTTCTATTCATCGCATCAACGAATTTCATGTAACAACAGAGGACATTCTCTGTGATCGGCCACGATAGCGGCACTCGCTACCGGTTCTGTTACAGGTCTCATCGATAATTTTCTGCAAGTTCTTTGTCACTTGCAGCAGCCTTTGTGGCGGATGGCGAACAGGACACAGGTCAGTGCCACAGATCGCAGAGCGTTGCGCCAGAATTGCCAGAAAGCGCGGACAGCCACCCACTGCAATTGATCGTTTAGAGTGACCAATGGATCCACGTCCGAGTGGCTGTCGCTTGCCGGACTGCCGCTTCAGGAATTGATGCGCGACACTCACGCTTCAACCAAGCTGTCGCTTCCTGAGAGCTGAGCGATGGAGTCAAAAGATCCGGACTAATCGGAGTCTGAGCAATGCAAAAATGGGGCCAAATGCTCTAAAATTCTGTAAACTATATTCAATATATTCAATGAGCTGGAATGATATTGGCATATTATCTATATCGACTCAATATTTTGGTATAAATATATATACATCTACGAATTCTTTGCATTTATTTGTAGTGCATAAATTTTCATGAAAACTCCAAGATTGAACCCCCATTAAATAAGAATAGTTCTTCTCAACAAAGGACTTCTTCTAACCCGCAAATAAATCCGGCGTTAGTTGGCGACCCACCCGCTTGCGCTGTGCCTGTGGTAATTAGAGGCAATGTCAAAGTCGCAAATTATTTCAATACCTTTAAATTGATTTCTTTATTAATGGGAATTATTCTAATTTGTTCCAAGTCTAAATGAATAGCTCGAAACCTTATGAAATATAGTGAAGCTTCGTCGCAGCATAGGACTTCGTCTAAGCCCGAAACAAGTCTAGTGTTAATTGACGACCCGCTAAGTTGCCTGCAGCCAGCCAAAGGCGGGCATGGCAACAGGAATGACAGGACGCCCAGACATCATTCCAAACCAACACAAATCCATTCAGAATCCAGCCCACATCCATCTAGAATTACGCTAAGCTCGGTCCCTTATTCCAGAGGTCTGAGGCACTATGCCGAAAGCATATTCCTGAATATAATGTATAAATATACCATACAAATTATAATATTGATAAGCTATTGGATCGTATGTATTCAGCTGGGCCCTCCTGCAAAGGCAAGGTAGCAATCTCCCTGGGCTTTAGCTTCGCCTTCCAGCATGGCCGCAAAACTCGTAAATAAACCCACGGTAAAAACCACGAAGGCAAATAACAAACAATACAAACGATCGATAGAAAAAGCTCCGGTATTCCACCCCATGAGAACCGAATTTGCATTATTTTTGGAATTTTGGAAAGCGAAATTAATATCGCGAATATCCACCGTGCCTAGCATTATTTCGAATATTTATGACTTCAAGATTATGATTCCCGGAAGCAACTGCACCTCTGTTGGACCACACGCAAATGGCAAAATAACAGCAACAACAGGATTATTACGATAAAGAATTGAAAATCGAGCTAATTAAGGCAACATCAATTTTGAGAAAACCCAATTCGTGCTTGCAAAGATTTTTTTTCTTTTCATAATGTTTCTATGTAAGAAGTTGTTTCCAATATATCTACAATATTGTACGATGTCCATGATGCTTGCAAAAAAAAAAACCCATATAATTTAATAATATTAGTTTGACCTTTATTTTGAAGCTACAAAAAGCAATTCGAACAAAAGATAATTCAAAACATAGATTAAATAATCGACGCAACCATAACAAATCTAAATAAATAATATACATATAAAAATAGAAACCACAAGAAAAAAATATAAACCAAAAATAATTCAATACAATATTGCCAAAAAATGCAAAAATCTTTCAAACCATTAAATACAAAAATTAAATATTATACTAAAACCTTCTTCCTTTATACATGCATTCAAACACTATAATAGAAAGATAATATACCATTCAAATATATTTTATCAAAATATCAAAAACAAATTTTAAATTTACGAGGCATTTATACATATAATTATTAAATATTACAATAAAACCTTATTGCCTCATCTATAAATAATATTCGATAAATATGCAAAAATTAAACCCAAAAAAAATAAAAATTCAAAATCGATCATAATAATTGTAGTAGTAATAATAATACGAATAATAGTAGTAATAATAATAATAATCGTATTAGTAGCAATAACGATAATAATAATAATAACACTAATAATCCTAATAATAATAATTGTCGTTACAATAATAATTATAATAGTATTAATAATAATAATCGTCGTAATAATAATAAAAATAGGCGTAATAATAATAATATTAATAATAATAATAGTATTAATATTAATATTAATGGTAGCACCAGTAGAAATAATAGTAGTTGTAGGAAGAATAATAGAAGTAATAATAGTAATATCGTCGTCGTAATAATAGTGGTATAGTAGTGCAATCCAATAGTACAAACCTTCAATTTAACGCAAAACCTATCATTTTTTCTATTTTTTCGCGCTCCGAAGTCATTTCCTCAATGAAAACCATGTTAGTAGTAGTAATCGTCGTCGTAATAGTGGTAGTAGTATTGCCTTTTGCTCCTTCTTTCCTTTTCCTCTGGTTCTTCATTTTCCTTTTCCTTATTCTTTAGTACTAGTAGTAGTAGTAGCAATAGTGGTAGGGCTAGTAGTAGGATTGTGGTATTAGTCGTAGGATTAGTACTAGCCTCTTGCTGTGTCTTTCCTTTTCCTCTTGGTCTTCCTTTTCCTCTTGTTCTTCATTTTCCTTTTTCTCTTCTAATAGTATTCGTAGTGGTAGTAGTAGTAGCAGTAGTAATAGCAGTAGCAGTAGTAGTAGTGGTAGCGCTAGTAGGAGGAGTAGTAGTGGTAGTAGTCGTAGCTCTCGTGGAAGTAGTAGTTAGTAGTAGTAAAAATAATAATGGGCCTCTTGCTCTTCTTTTTCCTTTAGGTTTATTTTTATTTCTTTATTCTCCTTCCTCTTCCTTTTCCTATTACTCTTCCTTTTCCTCTTCTTTGTTGTTTTCCGCTTCCTTTTCCTCTAGCTCTTCCTCTTCCATTCCCTCTTGCTCTTCCTCGTCCTGTTCCCCTTGCCCTTCCTCAAAACCTATCGTTTTTCAGTGTTTTAACTTGAATTGTTCGTATTCCTCTTCTGAGAGGCATGAACGCACTGTCAATAGCAAGGAAATAGCCGTTCTTGCAGCGTTCGTACCTTCCTGACAGTTTTCCTCTTCCTCTTCCCTTCCAAGTCCTTTCTCCCAGTGAATACGATATTGGTACCAGTATTGGTGCTCTTGGTGGTAGTAGTAGCACTTCGTACTAGTCGAGGTGCTAGTAGTATAGTAGTGCTAGTAGCTAAACCAATCAAAAACCGATCGTTTTTTCTACGTTTTTGCTCTCCCAAATCCTTTCTCCCACTGAAAACCATATTGGTCGTAGTGGTCTTGGTGGTGGTGGTAGTAGTCGTAGTGGTGGTAGTAGTAGTAGTACTGGTAGTAGTAGTGGTAGTGGTGGTGCTAGTAGTGGTCCGGTAATCCAATCCAGTGGGACAAACGCAAATCCGATCGTTTTTTCTACCTTTTTGCCCTCCCAAGTCATTTCTCCCAGTGGTGGTGGTGGTGGTAGTAGTAGTAGTGGTAGTGGTAGTGGTAGTGGTAGTAGTAGTAGTAGTCGTAGTGGTAGTGGTAGTGGTGGTGGTAGTGGTAGTGGTAGTGGTAGTGGCAGTAGTAGTGGTAGTGGTGGTGGTGATAGTAGTAGTAGAAGTAGTAATAGTAACAGTAGTTAGCCACATTTGGCTCCTTTATATTGTTAGCCATATTTGGCTTATTTATATTGTTAGCCATATTTGGCTTCTTTATATTGTTAGCAATATGTGGCTTCATTACTTTTTCCAACCTTGAGCCATGGTTGGCTTCCTATTTTGTTTAGCCTTGCAGTTGGCTGCTTTTAAATTTAGGCATTTTTCCGCAGCCTTTTTGCTCAATTTGCTGGACAGGTGGATTTGGCAAAAGCTTCTCTTGCAAGCCAATGCCTAGCTGCCAATGGATGCTAGCAGATCTCATTGAAGAGCTGCAGGCAATAGATGCTTTTGCAGCCACCAAACCTGATGAGAACAACTTGCACATTATAGTCGAGCAATTTGGGAACAGAGTGAAGGCCTGCTGTCCGGGAGGTATGAAGGACACTTTGGCCCTCCTAGATGCTGTCAAGCAAAGCAAGCTGCCAGAGCCGTACACTCAGAAGCTTGCCTCCATTGCTGAATCCAAGGCCTTGGATTATTAGATGATGCCTCCCATCTGAAGCTGCAGTCTTGTGGCCAGGTCATTTTGACGCCCTGGAACTACATGTCTGAGACTGAATGGAAAACTTTGCCTTCTCTCACAATCCATGAAATGTTCAGCTTGATTGTGGTCAGACTTAAAAAATGTGGCATCAAATCATTGAAGGAGAACTGCAAGCTTGGATCATGGCTTTGGTTTTGCACCTGTACATGAAAAATGGGAAAGCGCAGCCTTCCTTGACTGAGATCTACAAGTGGAACAATGTCCTCACCACCACCTTCAAGATGGAAAGCACTCCTGCTTTGTGGCTAGTGGTAGTGGTGGTAGTAGTCGTTGTAGTGGTAGTAGTGGTAGTAGTAGTGGTAGTGGTACAGTAGTGCAACTCAGTGGTAAAAACCTCACCTTAACGCAATACCTATCGTTTTCTCTACTTTTTGGACCTCCCAGTCATTACCCCCAATGAGACCCATGTTTGCGCTCGCCCTTGCGCCTTCTTGCGCCTACCAGGTAAAAACAGCCCAAAAACTGATCAATCTTTATGACATGTCCTCTCTAAAGCCTGTCTCTATACAGGGGTTTCGAACGGCTCCCACATAGTAATTTTAGGAATGAACATAATTAACATTACATGCATGAGATATAATTTTCCAATTAACATGATTGGATGGTTATTTCGTGTAATTGATGGATATTGATGGTTCCAATATATTAAAAGATTGTTTGTAAGCCTGGAGAATTCAAATCAATCGTTGTTTTTTGACATCAACCTCAAGTGTCAGCGATTCTGAGCCGGGAAAAGGGCTATTATCCTTCCATAGTCCAAATGAATTGGACTGGACAAGTATCTCAGAAAAAATAGAGTGATGTGTATTGCACATTCCAGACAAGGATGTGGTAGTTCTTTGGCTCTCCGAAAACAAAGGAGCACTGAGTGACGCACTGGCTCGTTTCCGCCTGCCAAGAAATACAGGGTGTATTTGGCTGGAAACCTGTCACGCCTCTGCGATGGATGACTTTGTGCTTTTGCAGGGCAATGTCAAAAGAGCAAGGCGGCAAACGTAGCAGCTTATACAATACACAGCCATTGAATATGGCCACATACTAAAGATCCATGAAGGCAAAAAGCTGCAGCCAATTTCCTCATAATCATCATGCAGCTTTAATTAAGCAACGATTGATTTGAATCTCTTGAGAACTTCACAAACAAAGAGGTTCAAATCGCCACCCAGCAGCAAGCGCACCCACATCGATGCTTAGGCACAAATCGTGCTCCTGTCGCAGATGGGAAAAAACCATGAGGAAAGGAATTGGCCATGCAAAATTGTTTGAATACAAGGCTTTGATGTGGGGGAGATACAGCAGTGGTTTGGTCTTGTATGTGCTTGCATTGTACATTTCTCCACAATTCAACAGTAAAAGTAGCCAGTAATCCAAAAGCCACCGACCTCAGACAGGAAGCCACCGCCTTCTGTTGGTGAGACCTGTCAACAGCAGGTAGAAAGCGTGAGATCTGTGGCACCAAAATGTCAAATACAACAATAATTACAGTACATTTAAAACACACACACACACACGTGTTAGCTGACTTCCTATCCAAAATTATCAGAAATGGCTGACCGCTGCCTGTTCAGTTTCCAAACCTGCTCAACCTTGATTTTGGCAACCCGATCTTTCAAGCTAAGGACCCCAAGTGCTTCTACCAGTATTGGTTTCCAATCTCATTGTGCGAATGTTGCATATATCTATATATCATTATATATACACAGTATATATATATATATCACAGGGTCTACATATATTATATGAGCCACGGTCAAAATCAATTATTTATGCTAAGGATGTTTTTGATCGTTATCGGTTTTGGGGGAGACCTTATCGGTTTTCAGCTTTTTGTTCAACCAGATGCTTTTGGCATTCGCATTTACATTGTGGACGCATGAAGCGGAGCTATCTACTCGCTGAAATCAGAAGCAGTGGATGACGAGCTTCTTCACAGCTCGCGTGTCAGCACGGACAAAGGCATTGCGATCTCGAGTGGGTTTGTGAAATTTTGTGTACCTATCTCTAATCTTTATCGGCCTTCTGTTTGCTGGGATGTAAAATGCTAACATGTATAGTTCTCAAAAAGAAAGGCTAGACCAATGTCTTCGATAAGGAATTTAGCTGTTTTGTCAGCAGGCTCTGGGCAAGGGACTATGAAAGCTGAAAACATATCCAAACGGTTATCGGCGAGTTATCGGCATAGTGCCCACATAGAATCCGGATGTTTCAAGAAATGGCTGCAGATTAGAAAAATAATCAAAAACAGCAACAAACATCTTGATTCCATATCATATGGCTGAAGCCGCCCACTAGGGTACTCTCAGTGGGGCTTTCATTCGACATGCAACAGGTACTGCAAGGATGTCAGGAATGATAATAAATACCATCATACAATATCATACATAGGTTATCGGTCTTGGGGGGGACCTTATCGGTTTCCAATACATCCTCACCCTAAGCCATTCACATCGACCTCTCCCTACACTTATTTTGACCCCACCTCATATACAGTATATACGTTGAACGTCGAATTAAAATAAAGTCTGATGCGATCCAGAAATGATAAACATGTATCTAGACTCTAGACAATGCATTCACACAGCCAGCCATGTGCCAATCGCACATTGAGGGATACTCTGACAAACAATTTGCAGGATATCTCGATCGCAATGGCTTGCAGTAAAGACAGCTTTTGATGCCATACAAGCGAAATCTAAAAGAAACTGATGGAATTACAACGAGAGTTAGAGATTAAAAGTTGTCAACAACTGTCATTTGGAACCAGGTGTGGCAAAGTGTGTAACAAGTTTATGTCCGGCCCAACGGGCAGTTTCGTATCATCTATTATCATCTACAAATCTGCAATGCAAACATGTATCATCCAATCATCCACCATGAACGAATTCCCCCAAGTGCACCAAGCAGCAAGGAAGCTTGGCCTCCACAACCATATTCTTTGGCAAGGAAAGCTTCCAAGCCTACGCAAAAGGATACCAAAGGTACGATATATACTTACGGCTAAGATTGAAATCGGAAGCAAAATGCTTGAAGGCGGGAGCTGATGTAGAAGGAACATGCTAAGTGTCAACGCAAACCACTCTTGGACATCGGGTGTCCCATCACCTTATGTTGGTACTTTAATGTCTTTGGCTTTCTGGAATGACAAGTATGGGCCATATGGGAATGACTCAGAACTCATGAAAAAAGCTAATAGTGACTGCGGTCCAAATCGCATAATTCCGCCTCCTCCACGGGAATCCTTGACAAAATAACAGTTTAACAGGACCGGACATATCATAAAACAGCACTTTCAGCTAGCAGCAAGTCAAATAATCACTCACTCGTGCGCAACAATGAAAGTCAAAGGCCTTGCAAAAGCTTGCAACCGCAAATATAACATACTTTAGCATATACAAGTACAGTAGCTTGCAATGGTCTGCGACCAAGGAACCCCTTGAAATAGGCCAAAAGCACTTGCAGGGTCGTGATGTGACTCACCTGGCAGTTGATTACGTCCAAGATGCGCGAGCGGCGCGAGCGTATGAACTCATTTCGGGACATGTCAGGCATCTCAATGTCTTGTGACACAAGCATAGTTCATGTATATAACAGGCTGTAACAGGACATGGCTGGTATTGCTCAGCCACAGGTTTTGCTGGCGACATCTCTCTAACTGAGGTTGTTGAATGAGGAATTGAATCAGGAAGTGCGTGTGCAGATTTCCAGGGTGAAGATTCCACCAATGACGGAAACTGCACGCAGGAAGCTCATCCAAAGTAACATACAGCCGATGATAGTGAGTATGGCTGCCGGCAACTGGCTTACAGTAGTTGACAAATGACCAAAACTAATTATTGTCAGCCACAAGTAAACTAATTGTGACTGTTTACAATGTTCTACCAATATTGAAAGCTCCGGAACAAACAGAAGTGACTTGTTCCATTCATGAGTTCTTTTGATTGAGCAGCGAAAAGTCGTGCCGCCCAAAAAAGCACACAATGAGAAAGCACAACAATATGTATCATTATTCGATACCTTTAAAATCCTTTAAATCCACTCTGAGCTGCAAACTATGAGTACTGGACTCGTACACATTTCAACCTTGGCTTTCAGCCCGAAGGACTGTCAAAAAGCACAGCTCAGTGGGAAGGCTTAAAGGATCCTTTGCCAACAGGCAGCATAACCATGCCTTTAGGTCCAGTTAAGACTAGTTTGTGCATTACTGTGCTTCCAAAGTTTTACGCACATCCTCTCTGCTGAATCAAATCCTATTGGCGTCTCTGAAATACTTCGAGCAACGCACTGTCAGTATCTTGATGATGCTTTGTCTGGCATAGGTCTGTGGCGTCAATGAGCACGCTCTCTAGTCGCATGACCACATCCATATACCCTGAGTCTCAAGGTGGCGCTCGAGCTCCCAACCAAGGCAAGCAAGGCATTGTCTTTGATGCGGCGTGAGGGTCATAGTCATAATAATGATCTTTCTACAGTTTCCGTTTCCATGACGGATGTTTCTTAATTTTCGGACTAGACACTTGGACTGCAAGAACAATGACTTGAAACACTTTTGCAAGAGTGTCTTAACACCTAGACAAAGGATTTGCATTTCTGCCCACAACCACAACTTATATTGATCCAGTTACAAAGTAACTTGTCGGTGGCCGACGATCATTCAAAGTGGGTGACGACAAACATGCATACAAACCCTGATACAAACAAACCCTGAGTTGCTCTATATATTGGCAAACCAAACAAGAATTTGAATGCGTAGGTTAGGCACCTGAAACCTCGGTGCACAAAATGTGCAAGCACATGCAATCGAACTTGTCAGGAAGTCTGAAGGTAGGCTTCATCTGGTTCTCAAAACAAACAATGTAGGCAGTTGTCCTCAATCTGTGAAAAATAGAAGCTGGGTTCTGGGCTCTCACCACCAGGGAACTGGCAATACAATGGGTCTTGCTGGAACCTTCGGTGGCTCTTGCTGTCGGCCAACTTCCGCTCAAGTGCACGTTTAGTTTTTGTTAAGCGGTATATGATATGTAATGATAATCCTCTGTGGAATAACCGGTGGGGGTTGAGAACGCCATTCTATAGTGATAAATGGTTGAACCAACCTCTGGGAGCAAAATGCCCCACTATAGAATCTAGCTTTCAACCCTTGTAGTGTACAGCATAGTTTCTCTATAGAATAAAGGGGGTCACCCTTGAAGGCACTAATGTAACAGAATTGTAGGCTCAAAATCTGAATTATCTAATTGAAACAGCCAGGGGTGGTTCTCATTCTATAGACATTCAAGTGGGAGAAACAGCCAGGGGTGGTCCTCATTCTATAGACAAGTGGGTGTCACATCAAGGCTGACATATTATTTTAGAGGAAAATTAGGCAGCAATGGCAAGAGAGGTTGGTATTCTATTTTATAGAAACATGATTGAACATTGCAAGGTTGAATTTCATTTTATAACAAGATTGGACAGAAAATAGAATCAAAACCAGGTTCTCTCTATAGAATCAAAACCTCTGTCCTCTATAAAATGTCCTCAATTGTCATATATTCTCTACAAAATGAGGGTGGTCAACCTAGTGATCCATCAATATATGATTCTCTCACCTCAGATATCCTCAGAGTGGATCTGTTTCAGGTAGGTTGACTTTTGATTCTAGAGAAAAGTCTCTATAAAATGCTAAGTCATTTTGGAGCTCGACCTCCCCCATTCTATAGGGGTTATTCGGCAGGGGATTAATGATATGTATATATATACACAGTATGTACTGTAGTTGTATCGGCCCATCATCAAGAAAGTAGCAAACACAGCACAGCGCGACGAAGGAGCATACTCGCCGTTGCAAGATTGAGGCCGCGGCTGTTTCATGAACTCTGGATGCCTTTTGTCCATCTGCACATGTGATAGCGTAGCTGTCGTGGTCGATCCAGAAATATAGAAAGAGCGAACACAAAAAAAGACACGACGTGCTCCACTACAAAGGGCTAAACAATAGCCGAGGACATACACAACAAGCCTTCAAACTGATTGTCCAATGTGCACATTCCATCAGGAACACAAGAAGACTCTGATTGCGATGCGTGCGACCTCCTTCCAAGGAGGAACATCTTCTGCACACTCCACGTCCCACCAGCCAGCACCCAATACACCCTGCCGAAGCAGCAGAAGCAGGATGAATGAGTCTTGACTCTTTACAACTTCTGAGTGAGAACTGCCTTGACACTACTGATTTGTTTGTGAAACACAAGAGGTTGAGAAAAGACTCAGGCCTCATCTATTGAAAGGTCAAGCATCAGTCTCTGCTTATTCAAATGCAAGTCTATGGAACTTATATCGTTCAAGAATTTATATCATAAGCATGCTCAGTGTTTCTCCAAACAGTGCCCCAAATGAGTATGCGACCATCCTACGAACATGTAGGAACTGTTGCACGCCCAATAATGTCGAAACTGTGCATTAGAACGGCCTCAGGAACACCATCCAAGTTGTGTTTGACACATTCATACCATCTAGAGTACATGACCCGGCAATGGACAAGTAACTATCACAGTAATTGTGGCACAATATCAAGTGCACACACACACAATGCAATCAAACATGTGCCAGAAACACCTGCAACATCCAGTGTCTGGATATTTGTCTGGATGTTGTTTGAAGTTTTGTTGGATGATTGTACTTTTCATGTGTCCATATATATATATATATTATTATATTAATAATTATTCGTATATGTGTTGTACTTGTATGCTCTTCAATCCCTCGATGATCCCAATACGAAACTCTGAGTTCAAAGCAGTGATGGGCATCAGTCAGTGAAGTATGTGCCCCAAATAGCCCCATGCAGCCTTGTCGATAGGATTCAAGGCCTTGGCTTGGCCACACGCACTTCGCTCTCAAGAATACGGGCCACATCAACTGGCAGTGTGTGCATCTGTGCAAAATGAGTACTTTTGCCTGCACAGTACCATGCTTCAGAATACTGAAGGATTTGGAATTGAAATAACTTTCATCAACAACTTGCTCACACCCTGAAGAAAGGAATTCTCTCAAGGGATCTCTACCGAAGTACAGAAAGGCTCTGCCCAGCCCTGCTACTACTCTGTGGTCAGACTCTCTTTCTTCTGGTGTTCGCTCTTATTCCACCAGCCAGCAAAAGTATGTTGGACAAACGTATGGTAAGACAATTAGTTTTGCAAATGTTTACCAGTCCAGCTAAGTGGCTGATCGCTGGTCAATCAGGGCTGCCGTGCAGCGAGCCTAAGGACATCCCAACTGATTTGCCTCTTTCGTCACAGCATGTCACTTCCCAAGTCCCTACACTGTTTCTCTGTAATCTTGTTGCTAAACATCTGGACTTGCTTGCAGCATCCAGCTACGTAAGGGCCCAACTCTGCAGAGGTCATACTGTAATGAACAGTTGAGTGTTCAAGAGAAGTTGTGTATATAGAACCATATAAACAGTATACCTGTCATTAATCATAATATGTCATATATATATATATAGATATGGAAATGGCAACCTTCTTGACCCCTCAAGTTGCCTGTTTCACAGCCCTTGGAACTTCGAATTGCTGGAGATCCTCACAGAAGAGACTGCACGGGGCATCGTGCTGGTGAAGACCTGCGTCTCCTCCTACGGCAATCCAGTTTGTGCAAAAAACTGTTTAGACTACAATTCCCTACTCAATCTATTGCGATTAGATGAAACACGAACACACTCACTGATCATGAGAGATGATATCACATAGCAACCACTCCGAATCCCATCACTCAACACAATAACAAAGACATGTTGTGTGAAAAACATTGAAAAGCGGACACAGCCTATGCGAAAAGCTGCAGGCCCCTTTTTGTCTCTCATGTCTCCACAACACGCCGAAGCACTTCGGCCGTTCGTTGAGATTCGGACATGACATGGGAAGACCTTAGCTCAGAGCCGGGTGGTCCAATTTGTGTGTTTTGTGCTTGGTGCGATTGCAAGACATCTGATAGCTACCAGGTGTTGATTACAACTACCAGTAACTACCACCTTCATTCAATTCGGGTGTGACACTGCGGTATTGGTTTCATTTGGCTTCAATGTCCTCACACTCATGTTGTGACCCATGCTGGGATAAAGCGTCAAATATGTTTTGTCCACTGACTGACACTCGCTAATCATGCAGAATAAGCAGCTCAACTTCACCGCGAAAAAGCTGGATGGCTTCCTTGTAGGCCAAAGCACACAAGTACCTTGAGCATCCTTGAAGGCTTCAACATCCATGAGTCAAAGTGGCTACACATAAATGACAGCTTTTAGAACCTTTAAAACTTCAAGGTCCGAGAAGTCCTCAGCCAATTCAGTAGCATTAGGCCCGATATGGGAACAAACACCAAAGTGTACCAAAAGTCAAACGTATTCTTAAACAATCTGCAAAGGCATTATCTAATTCAATGTCATTTGCAAACCAAAAGTTGCCTTCTGCATTTGGCGCCAGTAGCTAGCTGCAACGTCTCTAGTTTCCGTACAAGGGCACTCGCTCATCTTGACCCGTGCCACTGTAGAGTTCCAGAAGCCCATGAACCTTGCAAGTCACACAACAAATCAATTTACCCGCCGAGCTGATGAACGCTGGTCACTACTTCATTCAACATTTGCGAACAAAGGTGTCGCATATGCCGGTGTTGAAATGTACTCTAAGCGATTAGAAGATATCTGCACAGACTCGAGGTCTGAGCATGTCATGTGTCATTTATTTTGTCTACATCAGTGAATCCATGTGAATTGTCTACATCAGTTGTATCAATGAATCAATGAGTTGAGGATGTAGTGCCGTGTTTCTGGGCCAAGATTTGACTGAAAAATCAACTTCGAGCCTCGGATCACTCATGTCAGCCTCACTGGCTTCTTTGCGCGACTCTTTTCGCTTTGATCGGCCTGATCGGCGGTGGAAATCCCATGGAACTTTTCGCTTCAAGGGTCACACCGACATGTGATTTAGGTTTCAATTGTCACTTCATGCCAACAAACCCCGTCCTGAGTTCAAACCCACAAGTGCTGTTGAATGGTCATTCGAATGTAGCCAGCCTTCTTCCAGTTGCTTTACAACAAACCTGATGCACCCGATCGACTGCAAAGCATCATCATGGCTGTGACTTGCTCCCAAAAAATGTCTCAACAAATGTATATACTATAATGAGAACAGTCAAAGCTCAATCACAATTCTTTATCACCTGTCACACACCACATACCTAACTTGATTCCTGTCAGCAATCGGTACAGGAAATCCTTGCATGCCTGAAACGGTTTGCTCATGTTTGCTCTCAAAGTAAAATCAAACCTATGACACCTACAAATAAGATGTCTTCACCAAAGGACTCCTCTCGGCTAAATGCCCAAGCATTTTGACCGGACATCCACCATACCTGAGCCACAGTCGCGCTTCATGGCCATGTGGTTTGACCTTTTATTGTATATATATATTTACATTTTTTTGCCAGGCTTTGCTAACAAGAACAAGCTGTACTGAGCAAACCTCGCAGTTTAGTTTTCGGCCATCTCACAGAGACGTTCCTTGCATTCCCCTGATATGACTTCTGACTCTCTCGAATGCAAGTTGCAGAGCTGCTGGCGTTGTGTCGGCGGTTTTCCTCCAAAGTCTCCCGAAAGTGGGCAATAAAATGATCTTGACCTTGGCCCAGTGAAACAAATGACAGTAGACTTGTCTAACGCAACCTGAGAAGTGGGGAAAGAAGACAAGTAGAAACCAGCAGGCAGGTCATGGTTGTACCACGTCTTGTCAAAAAGGCATTGAAAACAGTTGTTTCATGTTTTTTCCTGGACTGCTGTCCGCAAAAAGCTGTTTTCGAACGAAAGCCCGGAAACCCTTCTTCACATTGATGTATACGAAACAAGTCCCGCACGTTTCATGCTGCATGAAGGTCCTGGCCAGGGCCATACCACTTTCTAATTAGGCTGTCATGTGGCAAACGAGATACATGTCCGGACGTACTATCATAGAACAGCCTGAGATCCACACACAACCACTTTATATAACTCTGGCATGCAAGCTGTTTGATCCAACAAATGCTGCTCTCATAGCCATCTTTCACAAACATGTTCTCTCTTTCCCTCTAGATATCTACCTTGCTGATCCTTGGTGATGAAAATAATACCACGACTAAGACTACTACGATTTGCATTTTCAGCCACCGACTCATCCAAAATGGCCTCCGTCAGAAAGCAAGCAGGCCAATATATATATATATATAAGTTTTCAGGATTGGCACAGTCTGACCTACCCATAGCCCCAGGATAGCTCACTTCGTTCGCAAACAAAAATCAGCCTAGCCTACCGGCTGGCTTTCGTTATGTGTATATATATGCAAGTGACAAGCACTTGAGTCGGTTGAACACCAATTAGGTCCAACCGCCAGTCCATTCAGGTTCGAGGAAAACGGCGAGCGTTTTGAGAGACACCGCATAGCCGTGTCAAGTTCGCATTTGTCGCCATCGGTTCCTCCGGATTGACTTGGGCATCCTACGCCACCTCTCGGCCATCCCAGTTGGATGGTAGCGCGGAGCCTTTGAGCTTTGCTTCCAGGGACCTTCGTTTTTTTGTAGCTGAACTCGCCAGGACCAGTTCAGAGAACAACAGGGATGACCTCGACCGAGGTCCACCGGTCGAAAGATGGTGTGCCGCAGTGGGATGGGGACTCCGTGAGTTTCCAAGACTATGAAGAACAAGCTCTCCAGTGGGAACAGGGTATCCCATACCACAAAAGATACTTAGCTGGACCCAAACTAGTGGCAGAACTGAGTGGGCCCGCCAGAAGGTATGTGATGGGGAAGAGGCCGCAATGGTTGTCATTCAATGGGGGTGTCCTCCACTTACTACAACACCTCCGAGAATGCTTGGGAAGGCCAACGATCCCCGAAATGACAGAGTACCTGAACAAGTACTTCCGCCATAGTCGAAGACGACGATTTGAGAACATGAACACCTACATCACCCGCAAGGTGGAAGTCTATCATCGAGCCCGACAGTCGCTCGCCCGGGTACAGCAGTTCTTTGGGAAACATCGCAGAGATCACCGTGAACATGAGTGGCAGCAGCGCCGTTGGAGCCAATCTTCATGGGATGATTGGCAGGGCACCAACTGGCAACGTCAGCCAGACCAGGAAGAACACGATGAGGAGGAGCAATGGTATGATCCTCCGAGTGAGGCACCGGATGCACCTTCGTGGCGCCAGTCACAAACCAGCTATGGCTATGGGTACAACCCCGTGGATGATGAGCCATGGAAGCTGAACACTGATGAGCTCCTGCCGGAGTTTCTTCAAGGCTGGTACTTACTGGCTGACGCCGGTCTTGACAGTACCGAAAAGAACATGATCCAAACAGCAATCCAAGAGGATTTTTCGGTGCAGCGAGTGGCAAAAGAACTGCGGTTGCAGTGGCCTGATGAGGAACTTAAGAAGCGAGACCAACAGGCCAAGCATGCTGGGTTTTGGGCTGATGAGCCGGAGGCTACCAGCCTACCTCCTGAAGCAGACCTACTCGAAGATGCATGGTGGCTTGACGACCTGACTGGGGAAGGTCAGGCCTTGTTCAATGCCGCGGAAGAACGGGCTCAGGAGGCGTTCGCTTTGATTGAGCAAGGGCGTCGCACACTCAAAGAAGCCCGAGCACGCTAGCATCAGGTGAAGCTCTCCCGCCAGTACTACAAGACCACCTTTCGACGTGGAGGGGGAGATCCACCTCGTCACGATCGCCACAGCTATGCCCCACGAGGAGATGGAGCCCAAGGTGTCACTTGCCTGCGTTGTGGCAAAGGACATAGAACCTCAGAGTGTCCTGAGAAGCCTCAGGATCAGAAGAACCAAGGACATGTGACCATTACCGAAGAGGCACCCTTCGTTTGCTTCACCGAGGAGGCCCTGACCGTCAACGGCCTCGACACTGCACGCACTACCCAGGAAGCCGTTCTCGCTGGCTGTGCAGTGATTGACGGTGGAGCTACAAAGACGTTGGGCAGTGTAGCTGCCATTCAGGCAGTCATGGATCAGAACTTGGGAAAGCACGGCGAAAGCCGCATCCAAGCCGTCGATCCTCAGAACCAACCACAGTTCGGATTCGGAAATGGTTCACAAGACAAGTGCATCTCCACCACTCAGTTGAAGGTGACAGCCAATGACCGGCCTGGCACACTCCAGATCCATGCTTTGGATCGAGGCCAAGGGCCAATCCTGCTGTCCATTCAGACCCTGCGAGCCTTGAAGGCCGTGATCGACTTTGATGAAGACCTTCTTGTACTGAGAGGCTTGGATGCCACCAAAGTGATCCCCTTAGAGAGGTCAGCCGCGGGACATCAGCTCCTGCCGTTGACTGAGGATTTGTTTAAACATGCCCATACCTGCAAAAAGCAGGTACCAAGTCTGCGGGAGTACATCTAGGGACAACTCCTCTCTGATCCTTCGCCTGAGGGAGAAAGGGAGGACATGAGCCATCAGGCAACCCGTGGACAGGATTCACAGTTTTCCAAAGTTGATGAGAAGAGTGTTTGTGGTTGTAGGTTTGAGAGAGATTGTGATTTGATATTGGGGGGGCCGTGGTAGTTTGGTTGAAACGTCTTCGTTAAACAACAATTCTT